TTTTTAAAAATTTTTTTTTAATTTTTTTTGAAACCATTATGTTTTTTTTTTTTTTTTTTTTTTTTTTTTTTGGCGTCTATCCTCCCCTAAGTGGTAGAAGCCACTGCCACCCCCAACCCCCTACCCCCCACCCCCGCTACGTGGACCTTGAGGTCAATTTTGTACGTATTGGTTTGCAGTGTTTCTTACGGGCAATTTGTGGCGGAGTGGGAGAGGGAGGGGGAATTCAGATGATCGGGAGGGCAGCGCCAGTGGCGTAGGAAGTGGTGAATGGGTTGATTCACCCCCGGTGTCCCTCTTTTCATATTTTTTTTTTATGGAAGAGCAGCAGTTTCGGGTAAGTGAAAAGGGTGGCAAAAATCTTGCCCTCCCTCCAAGGTGGTTTAGCTAGAGTAAGTGCTGCACTGGGTGGGCTAAGACTTTTCTCATCCCTTTACACGACAAAACTCTGCAGCAGACCTAAAATGCCGCACCTCCATAAAATGAAAAAAAAAGTATCTCCACATAATCCGGCCGCACCTTCATATCTTCCATTGTCTGAAAGAAACAATGGGAGAGATGCCTGAAAGAAACAATGGGAGAGATGCCCGAAAGAAACAATGGGAGAGATGCCCGAAAGAAACAATGGGAGAGATGCACGAAAGAAACAATGGGAGAGATGCCCGAAAGAAACAATGGGAGAGATGCCCGAAAGAAACAATGGGAGAGATGCCCGAAAGAAACAATGGGAGAGATGCCCGAAAGAAACAATGGGAGAGATGCCCGAAAGAAACAATGGGAGAGATGCCCGAAAGAAACAATGGGAGAGATGCCCGAAAGAAACAATGGGAGAGATGCCCGAAAGAAACAATGGGAGAGATGCCCGAAAGAAACAATGGGAGAGATGCCCGAAAGAAACAATGGGAGAGATGCCCGAAAGAAACAATGGGAGAGATGCCCGAAAGAAACAATGGGAGAGATGCCCGAAAGAAACAATGGGAGAGATGCCCGAAAGAAACAATGGGAGAGATGCCCGAAAGAAACAATGGGAGAGATGCCCGAAAGAAACAATGGGAGAGATGCCCGAAAGAAACAATGGGAGAGATGCCCGAAAGAAACAATGGGAGAGATGCCCGAAAGAAACAATGGGAGAGATGCCCGAAAGAAACAATGGGAGAGATGCCCGAAAGAAACAATGGGAGAGATGCCCGAAAGAAACAATGGGAGAGATGCCCGAAAGAAACAATGGGAGAGATGCCCGAAAGAAACAATGGGAGAGATGCCCGAAAGAAACAATGGGAGAGATGCCCGAAAGAAACAATGGGAGAGATGCCCGAAAGAAACAATGGGAGAGATGCCCGAAAGAAACA